TGCTTGGTTGCAAAGTACATTGGTAGGGATGAGTGACCCAGTGTGGTCACCCAGTGAGGTTATCTCTCAGCCTGTGCTGAAGCTTAGGGTCTATCAGCCACCTACGGAAACATTGGACCCTGAAGACCAGCCAGGAAAAATTCACCCAGTGTCTAATGAGGACGAAACGAGGGGACAAAGTAGAGTAGCTGGCACATCATGACACAGTGGTAACAAGACCTCAGTTTTTGGATGGAAGCACCGTAATCTAAAAGTTAAGCAACACTTATCTCTGTGTGTGTGTGTTAGATAGGCAATTTGCTTTTTAAAAATGATTATGTTTTAATTTAAAGCAATACTAGAGATTGAGTCTAGAGCCTTTGTGCTGAGCTACATCCCCAGCCCTTTTTTATTTTGTGACAGGGTCTCACTAAGTTGCCCAGATTAGGCTCCAACTTGTGATCCTTCTGTCTCAGCCTGCCAGAATTTTCATTATCCCTAACCTCTTGACACTTGACATTTAAGGTCAGGACCCTAGTGAAACTATTGTTCCCAAAAGGACTGGTCACTGCTAATTACTACACTAGGCAGCTCCACTGTCATTACTAATAACTCTTTCTTCATCTCCTTCTTAAAATGACTCCATCATGGGAGTTCCATTGTCTTCCTCTTCAGTGGCCTACTTTCTAGCTGGCTCCCTGCTCTGCCCCTGGCCTCAGTGAACTGTACCAGGGAATGAAGTGAAGAGGTGAGACTTGAGGCCAACCACCAACTAGCTCAGTGGCCTTGGGGAAGGCACCTCCCCTCCAGGCCTTACCTGTGAGACAGATGGCCCAGATACCTACACATGGCTCTTGAGAGAACCAAATGCTGACACCACATGTGTACGGTGCTGACTTGGGCCTTGCACAGAGCAAGAGCTCTATCTGTGCTGTCACTACTCTTACTGTGTGAGTGCAGGGAAAAGCCATTCAGACAAGTGCAGGCACACCACATGAGAACGCACTCTCTAGAAAAAAAACAGGAAGGATACAGTGTAATAAGTGGTTTTACTAGAGCAGTAACTGTGTGGGGATGATTTTTACTTTCTCTATTCCCCTAATGTTCAATCACAAGGCTGTGGGGAGCACAAGGGAAAGCACCTGCTGGCCCGCCCCTGTGGATGTCTGAAGGAAGACAGAGAAACAGAAGGAGAGAGGTAGACAGGTGATGTGCATGAGTTCCAGATCACAAGATGCTCCAAAGCTTGGAAACATAAATAGGTAAAGAAACTCACAACTATCCCAGTGCCCTACTTTGCCTCTGTGTTTGGTTCTCCACTTCCAAGTAGGAACAGACTGGGAAGGATGGCTGTGGTCTTCTGGAAAATATGCCAAAAGGTACAAGAGAAACAGTCAGAAGCATCCCCACATCAGTCAGAAGACACAAAATCCCATGAGGCAGAAGATGTCATTCCCATCAGACACACACACAAAACAGAAACAACAGGAGCTCCCATCAAACAGCTGGAGCAATCACGTTTGTACACTGCCTTCCCCTTCATCAAAAGTTGCTGAAACAAGACCTGAATGCCAGAGATGCCTGATGTGGGACCATCAGCAGGCTACTTCCTGAGAGCTGTGTCCCCTCTTCCTTTCCCCTTTTCCTCAGCAGTCCTTGGCTAACCACAACATTGAAGACTTTCTGGCAGCTCTGCCTGGGGGTAGATGATTTAAACTGGAGTACAGGACATGGGGGGCTGTCTGTTGGAGTCCTGGACAAAGAGTTGGTCCTAAAAGATCACACCCAAGAAAAAATTCTCCTTTTTGTCTTTGCAGACAAGCGAAAAAGATGGCCAGATTGGTAGCCATCCTGGTACCACAAGAAAAAGGGCATGAAGATGAGAAGAGAGAGATAAGAAATCTTAGTTCTTAGTGATGCTTAACTGGTAACTTGCTACTTCTGGCCTTAGGGAATAATAAGCATGTTTATTGCTTAACCACCATGAGTTGAGTATTCTGTTACTTTTGGGCAAAAGCATCCTAAATTATTCAGACAGTAATAGGTGAGCTGATTCCAGAAAAGGGATAACTAAATGTAAATATCACTCAGGCATGGTGGCACAAGCCTGTAATCCCAGCAACTCAGGAGGCTGAGGTAGGAGGACCCCTTTGAGTTTGAGGCCAGCTTGGGCTACATATCAAGTTGAAAGGCAGCCTAAATTACCTAATAAGATCCTGTCTCAAAAAAACAAAAACAAAAGCCCTGCATGGTGGTATACGTCTGTAATCTCAGTGCTCGGAAGCTGCTTGGGTGACAATGAATTCAAGGCCAGCCTGAACAACACAGTGAGACCCTGTGTCAAAACAAGAACACAACAAATAAAAAAATAAATATCCAAATTTAGAAATCAGTAGTAGTATTGCTGTAGCTGTCTTTACTAATGGTTGGATTCACCAAACATATTAAATGAAAATTTTGAAATAATTCATGATCTTCACATATGTATTAATCTCTTAAATTATGAGTACCAATACCAAAAAGGCAGCTAACTATACAATAAAATCTTTGAAAATAACAAAAATTCAATCTACTTTGATCTTTTTATGGGGCAGTACTAGGAATTGAAAGCGGGGCTTTCACACTGAGTTATACCTTCTTTCACACTAAATTATATCTTCTTCTTTTTCTTACTTTTTTGTTGTGAGTCTCACTGAACTGCATAGTCTGGGATTAAATTTAGGATCCTCCTGCTTTAGTCTCCTACAGTGCTGGGATTACAGGGATAAGCCACCACACTTAGCTTTTAAAGAGTTAATTGAGGGGCCAGAGTGATAGCTCAGTGGCTTAAGTGCCTGCCTGGCAAGTGCAAGGTCCTGAGTTCAATCCCTGGTGTCAAAAAATAAATAAGTAGAATTCCCTTGATTAAAAAGCTAATTGTTGGGGCTGGTGAGATGGCTCAGTGGTCTAAAGCACCTACTTAGAACAAGCTTAACAAAAGCAAAGGGACCGCGGTTCAATCCCCCAGCACCACATGCCAGCCAGCCCTGCCCCCTGGTGGGCTGAGCTGGCCACACACACACAAATAAATAAATAAAAAAAAAAAAAAGCTAATTGTTCATTACTCTTGTATACAGGAAATTTAAAGATATATAGAATAATATTTTAATCTAAACTTTAATAGCAACAAAACAAAAACTATGTGAGTCAAAAGAGATTAATATTAGGCTTCCAGGGCCGGGGAGGAATAAGCACTTCCCTGGCAAGCACAAGGGCCTGAGTTCAATCCCCCGTTCTAAAAAAAAAAAAAAAAAAAAAAAAAAAAAAAAAAAAAAGAAAAAAGAAAAACAAAAACCCGAACATTAGGCTTCCAAAAGCAACTCTTACTGAGGTAGCATTTTATCATGAGATTGCTGTAAAAGAAAACTAATAACTCTGAGATAGTAAACATAAGCAAAATCATATCTTGGAAAAATAAAACTAGAAATAAAAGTTACTTCTATGCCCTCTGAATACACATCTACATGAAAGAAACTTGGCCATCTCAACATATTTTCCTTACTGAAATTGTACCTTCAAGTTTGTGTTTATACCCACACTGTTGCTGTGGAAATAGTGGATTCAACATTATGAACTCATGGCTGAATAAAGTAAGGTGTGGAACAGAAGTCTTATTTAAACAGTGGCAACACCATAAAACATTCAAAAGGCAAACTGAATGATGGTGACTCAGAGCACCATATGTTTTAATATAAGGGTCATATTTTTTCCTGATGCCTGACACAAATAGGATGTTTTTTGTTAATTTAGTTCTATTTTTGGAAACCTATAATTACCCCAATTATTCTCCAAAATGTCATAAATTCTTCTATCATCTGTCAAAATGTCCTAACTTTTGCTCAGTTTTGCTTTGCTGTGTGTCTGGCTGGCTGCAGGTTATGAAATTGATCTTGCTTATACAGACTTTCCAGTTTGGTCCTCGTCAGGACACACGGAAGTTATAGTCCCTGCAGCACCCAAGCCAGGATTTCAAAACACTTCTGCACATTATTGATTGCATTAAATGCAGAGGTATCGACTTATTCACCATGTATCATAATTTCAGGACTGCAGTCTATCTTTTGACTACAGTTTTATGAACTCTCAAGCAGAAAACTGCCAAGGAATAAGGACAAGCACCCAGATCCCCTTCACGCCCAACAGCCTAGTTCCCTACCCAAGCCTCTGATTTGGCTCTGGTCTTTGATGGATCAGTCTGAGTTTCCAAGCAACATTCTGAGACCAAAAGGTAAGCATTATAACCCATGATACTCTTCCACTTTTCTTCAACTTGTCCTTCCCACTTGTTAACTGGAAACACACACACACTTTCTATTCTTTCCTCCTGCTTTTCTGAACCTTTCAAATTATCACAAATATTTTAAATATCTACAACATATTCAACAAGTTTTAAAAATAAGGGTCATGTGTAGGGCTATTTAAAAACTGGACCTTCCCCCACAGGAGACAGTAACAGTGAAGTGGCTCCGTAAATAGAAATCCAGCCTCTCTGCTCTGCGCCTGTTGCCCAGGGTGTGGCCACCTCTGCCTGCACAGGAGAGCGATTCATACCAGCAAAACCGGAAAAATCACAACCAAGAGCAACTGTGGAAGCAGTGAGAGACAAGAAGGCAATGTAAGGAGCTGGGTTTTCTACGAGGTGAGTCACAGGAAACACTTGCCTGGTCAGAGGCACGGCTTGCCCACCTCTTCTGGTTCAGAATGTAGGTCAGAGCTCCCTGGGCTTGGCAATTAGGGGATCAAAGGCCAAAGGCAAGAGCTCAAGGGCCAGAGGCAGAAGTCCAAGTTCTTAGAAAAGTTGGGAAGCCCCTCCACTCAGCCCTCAGGCACCACGCTAGGCCTGCTGTCCAGTCTAGCTTCTGGTTCTACAGACTAGGGATGCCCAGCTCGCTCTCCTTTCTACTCTCCAGCAGGCTACTTCTTGCCCTCTCCTCAGGGTGTCCAGGATGACAGGAAGGTTTGCATAATGGATGTTGACTCACCCAGCTCAGTTGACACAGGGGACCCAGAGGCCATCTCCCCGATCTTGGCCACTCCATCATAGTAGGCTTTTCCTGCCATGATCATAGCTAGACAAGAAAAGTGACACACAAAATCATCACAGACTAGAAAAAGAGAGACACACGCACCCACACACCGAAGAATTGGTCAGTCTCTTGTCTTATCTCTTTTACTGGCTAGGCAACTAAGGCTGCTCTACTATAATACTTTTCCTCAATTTATAACAAATACATTTTTAAAAGTTAGATTTTAAAGGACAACATAAAAACAAGGAATGAAAGGGCCATAGAATTAATTCATATGTAAGTCCAGTGGAAGGAAGAGCACTCTCAGAACACATTTATCTATTTTAGCATTTATTGTAGAGTCTTAAAAACTAAGTTATGATTTTTACCATATTTGAATATAAGCTTAAAAAAATGTAATACTTGGCTACACTGTTTTATAAAACTATTATTTTATAAAATCCTTAAAGTGTAATTATAAAAAGTACAATAATAATTAACATTGACGTAGACTTCTTTCAGGTCATCACTTAATCTACCTGATAATGTTGAGACAAGGTAGTTATGAGCCCTTGCTAAGGGGGTGGATTACAGATTTTGGGACATCCCCAAGGTCAATAGTGAGTCAGAAGCAGTGTACACAAATCCTGCGAAGGTACTTTACTTCCTCAGTTCTAAATTATAGTGCTTGTTGACTCTCTGGTCTTAGCAGGAACTGAAGAAAAAGTGACTCTGCCTCAAAACAAGGTGTGTAGCCAGTAAGCTGTCATGTTAATATATGTATTTTGGAATGAAGATTTCAAGTTGTAAAGTACTGATAAACTGAAAAGCAAATTATGGGAGAATGGATGCAGGATTACACAATATTTGAACAAAAACTGTAGTCTGCATCTGCATACTAAATTGAAAGTATTAGTTAATTGCTAATTTACATTAAAGCCACATATCACCTAACCTTCTCAGTCTTGTAAAGTATCTTTGGTTTTATGGTAAACCTGAATTAATTCAGAAATTATATAACTTATGCAGAACACAGTTATTATTTTCATGATGTTGCCCTCCTTTGTAAACACATTAAGGTTGCTTGTACTACTTATTATTGTAAGGAATGAAACATATTAATTCTATTTTAGTGGTATTAATCTAGATTAATCTACATACGTACCTGTTCCCTAAAATATAGTTTCATCGGCTTACTGTTTTACTCAAAAGCCTTCAAAGGCCATTACTGTCCATAGTATAAGCCCCTGTTCCCTGGAGCTCACTATAGATTTTTACATTATATGTGATCTTCAATGAATTATCCCTCCCAGAATTCTCAGTTTGTGGGGTTCCCTTCCACACGCCTGAGTTGTCTGGACACAAGATTTGCCTCGGCCAATGTGCTATCAGCTAGCATAATTCCCACAGGGACTTGGTAAATGTCAGGTATTAGGGCCTATACTCTGCAGACACCACTGCCCCAGTGTAAGAATGCAGTGTGGCCTCCTTGAAGGAAAGAGAGCTTGCATATCCCCCAGCCCTGAGACAGCTGATTAATGCAGAAGTGAGAGTTTATAAGAGAGATAAACCACGATCTCAAGTTACCAAGTTTGAGAGTTTATTGTGTAACAATAGATGATAGATATAGCATTCAAATGCTCATGTCTGCTGGTCCGATCCCATCTATTCCCCCTTGACATCTCACCAGGTCAGTGCAGGTCTCAAGCCTTGGCTGGAATGCTGCCTTTTCTATCAAAAGCAGTTTTTGCTGGCTGAAACCAAACATCTGTTGGCTAGCTCAGCTCCTCCAAGGCCTCCTGCCTGCTCCAGTCCACACCAATCTCCACTACTCAGATTCCTGTGCACTGGTCTAAACAACACTTTTAGCTCTTCGCATGTTGCCTTGCCTCCTAATGTAATGGTGACCAGATCTGGCTGGCACCTTGCGCTATACTCCAAATTCTTATAAATGTAGCTTCAGGAAAACCACAATCAGAAGGTGGGCAGAAATACTTATGAAAGTGTAGAATAAACTCAGGAGGTGTTAAAGTGATAAGAGCTCTTTTGGGAAACGTCCTTTTAGTAGATTAAGCTGCAAGCAGCTCACTGACTTGTCCTGTAACTCTGCCTCAAAGAGGCAGCTCTTGCCAGAAAGAAAGCAACAAAAACAAACAAAACAAGCAGTCAAACAAACAAATAGGCCATGGCAGGTCATAGTGATTTCCTTTACAGGTACCTCTATAGCAATGCCTTTGTGGCCTTGTGATTAGGTAATCACCAGGGGAGAGTTAGCAATGCCAGGCTCTTGCACTTGGGTGGAGGGAAGGCACCTGGAGAAGGCAATGACCCTGCTGGAAGGAAGGACAGTCCCAGGCCTGCTGCTTTTCCTGATACCCAAAGCCTCAGGCAAAAAAATAAATAAATTGGACTGGTGAGATGGCTCAGTGGTCTAAAGCACCTACTTAGAACAAGCTTAGCAAAGCACAGGGACCACGGTTCAATCCCCCAGCACCACATGCCAGTC